TGTAAACGTGGCGTGGCGAGCGAGTGGCGGGTGCACAGGAGAGAAGTTCATGGAGTGTCTCTGTGGTACAGAGGAGTCTTAGCCGAGCGACACAGCGCGAGATGAGTTTGTATTGCACCGGGACAGGAAGACGCGGTCCCTCCGCCCGATCAACGTGACTAGGGACGAGGAGTCGCGCGTGGTGTCGGCTCTTTGATTTCTTCTCACTTATAAGGAGCGCGAAGAAGAGATAAAAGAACAGAGAGACCGAGTCCTTTAGTCGCTTACCACGAGACATTTCAGGAGGTCTTTGACGTTATCCGAGATATGCGCGAGGGGAGGAGGGAGGAGGAGCGGGTAAGGGCCGAACGATTTATATCGAACGACTAGAACCGCAGCCCCAGAGTTATCGCGGTATCCAGGGGGATAAGCCAACCGGGAAAATTTTCCTTGACATACCTGTGCGGACGGTCCGGTTTAGGTCGGAGAGGGTAGGACCGACCGAACCCGCTTCTTTCGCAACGTGTCATGTGTCCAAGGTTTGCCCTATGTCGATAGTGAACACCTCGATCGTACCGGTTACCACCACCACGTCCGGTGCTACTCGGGATAGCAAATCGGAGGCCCTAGGCCTGACGGGGCCGACGTGCAGTTGTTAACGATTGCAATCCGCCGCGGAGCTAAAGTCTCCCTGCTACATACTGGTTTTTTTTTTAGACCAGATTAAAGCAGGGGCGAGAGAGCGAGGCGTGGAGACCTATGATGGAGAGAGCGCCGAGACAGAGAGGAGACTACTACTAGGAAGAGAGACACCCAGACGGAGACACAATTATACAATTTATACCCGGCGGCTAAGCGAACCGATTTAACCCCACATCTTGTCCGTTTCGCATGTAATATTTACGGTTCATAATGTCCAGGAGACCAACCACTCCTCTCGCGTACAGCGAGCCGACGTGGCTTGACAATTGCGTCTCGTGAGCTCTCTCGGAGAGGTCATGTCCGAGACGTAGACGTTAGGAGATGTGAGGCGCGACTCGCCAAGCAAAGAGAGAGCGAGCAGGGCGTCGATCATCTCCAAGAGGGTATCCAGGATGTCTCCTGGGAGAGCAAGGGAGGACGGTGCGCGCCTTCGCCGGTGACATCACACTGGGAACCCTAACCCCAGGAAACAAGTTACACCCTCAGACAATAACACATCCATCGGTATAAAAACTAACCACACAGACGCGTCCACCGAGAGAGGGTGACCGTCAGAGACCCTCCTCCTTGTCCCGGGAGCCCCGGGCGTAGGTGTAGGTCCTACGGTTAGCAGAGACATGAACACATTCCGGTTGGAACGTAGAGACGTATTTGAGATAGATACAAGAAGAATGCAGGCATAACTACGGTAAATATGGTATATCTCCTTTTATTATTTTTAAAAGTATAAGAGTCCGAGTTCAGAAGAGCGAGGTCATCTAGGAGTGAGAATAACTGTCCAATTTTGGAGCGGGAACTATGATAACGCACGGAAATAAATTCGTAAGTGAACCAATACTGACCAGAGTGCCGTATAACGTGTGAAGTATCATTGTGTTAGAAGAGTCCGAGAGAGTCGTCGCGCGTTTAGGTAGCGACCACGCCGCGCGTCCTCTTCTGGCCCGGGCGCCAGAGCGAGCGCGCGAGGCGGACTGGAGCGGGTACTTGGTGCAGCGGTGCATCTGGGGGACACCGGGGGATTTTTACTTTCACTTTTTTATTACTTTTACATACTAAAAATGGCTAAATAAAATTACTGCTTATCCGGCTTTGATTCCGAATAAGCAGTAGATCAGCGCGGGTAACCTCCGCCGACGTGAGTCCTGGTAATCCTCGCCACGTGACTGAAAGTGACAGGCCCCGATTCGCGCGCTTCTTTTTGTGAAGTCTCCGACAACGTAGGTTCTTTTCTGACTAACGTTTGGTATGCAAAAGCTCTCGTTGATGGGGGTGCTATTGAACGTTCCATTAATTTGATAACATAGACACGATTAACAATCTACATTTCATCTCTACATATGACAAGTAACAGAAATAAAAAATATATTTAATACTATACACGACAAAATCAACGTCTGTACGAAATGATGATTGAATTCAACTTCGATTGTCATTATTGATAATTCTAATATAAGACCTTTATTTATTCACATGACTTTGTTTATGGTTATTGACATAACGTAACAAAGAATACGGCGTTAATGAGTATGACCAGAGTCAAGACGTAAAATAACACTGGGGGAGTCTTTATTGACCGGGGTCACCGGGGTCAGTTTAACCAGATCTTGGCGGTGACGCCAGAGTCTATATATGTTTTGTACGAGAGACTTTCACAAACGCGAGATTTATGGTTTGTCTAGTAACATCGGGGTAGGGTATTAGGTGGAGACAAAGTCGGGACAAAAGTTTTCACGACTAAGAGACAGACAATGAAATCCTACTTCTAAATTCCTCGGTGAGGGGTGCCGGGGAGAACTCTCTATAAAACCAATTTTCTTGTTTAACCACGAGAATCCCCTCCCTCTAAGTCCACTAGTTCCACACACACCCCCCCCCCAATGGAACCAAACCACTAACCGGATTACCAAATGTGTTCGGTTGTTTAGCAAGTACTGTAGTATTTCACCGGTTTTTAGACTAGTCGAGTAAAAGTCTGTCCAAAAATATAGTTACCTAGTCCCTGGTTTTGCACTGGCGGGCTAGAAAAAAAGAGGACGTTTTGAAAAGTCTCAGAGAACACGGTGTCCTCACCTACTCCCCTGTACACCAACTACATATTTTTTGTACTTTTCTCACCTAAAACGAATAACCGACTCGGAATTATGTAGGACCATTTTTACAAAGAGAGAGTGGAATGACGTCGAACGGTCAAAGGCCGACTTAGTTGCCCCGGGGGCGACGCTATTTGTCCTCGTACGACAAAAGCCTTGGTGTCGACGAGGGGACTCATGTCTCTCTACCGACGGGTCCCCGGCGGAAGGTCTGTCCCTTGACGGCTGGGTGAGAGGGGTCCATCGCTCTCTTCCTCGAGGGACTCCCCCCGGCCTAGGGAGTGAAGTGACGTTGGTAATTGTCCGTCTGCCCACGCCGACACCTGTATCCGGTGGGTGGACTTTCCTTCTTTCTATAGGTCCTTCAGAATTACGTTCCCATTTTAATGACATTTCGTTAACCTACTTGTGTTACAATAACAATGCGGTACGATTCCGTTTGACACCGACCGTTACGACTACCCCAACGTAATTTTGTTTACATACCTGTACTTACTAAGGGTCTTCTGCTTAGGATTATAGTACAACAGTTGTCGTAAAGTCAAAAATTGTGACCCAAATACTCGGCTTATTTTTTGAAGAAGTCCGGGGTCGGACATTATAAATACCAAATGAACTATTAATCGTCTCTTCGTACTGTAAAAAATTGTGACCATCACCACACGCAACAGTTAACCTAACTTTTATCGAAGTTGATTCTTATTATACGTTAAGCTAATAATAAAAACTGACGAAAAAATATAGATAGTTAGATAGATTGTTTAGCAAAGTAGGGTTTTCGAATACTTGTATTAATAGATTTTTTGTATTATTGGGTTTTGAATTAAATTTTTTTTGGACATGAAGAAAGACATGGACGAGTTCTAGTCGACCCAGAGGTTTGAGTCACTCGGCACGACTCCAGTCGCCGTCCGGGCGTCCAGGAGCTCGCACTTTGTGCGCCGGTAGCCATGAAACTTCACCTGGAAGAGGTCTTACACCCGCTGAGGAGGAAGAGAAGGGGAAGGAGGGGATCTGCCGAAAGACACTTGGGTTTTATCCTCGTCATTCTCAAGTTATTTCTAAAGCTGCAGTTTTATGATGATACAAGATTTAAAAACAAATGAAAAAGTAAATCATCCAACATACAATAAGGACAGCAGATTAACATTACATTACCATTTACATTGTATAACATTTCAAATGTATAACATATATTAATGACTGAATGAAAAGAAATGCAATATATTGAGGTTACGTTTTTCCAAAGCTTTAAATACTTCCCTCATGCTCCTACTGTAACACACAAAAGAACCATTGGACAAAGAAATATTAAAATTACTTTATTACAGATGATTCTTTATCCAGTAGCCCTCTTCAAACAAAAAAGGAAGTAATTACAAACAAAATATTACATTTATCCCCTAAACTTCTTTGCTTCTGAATTTATTTTATACATTTTAAATCACTTTGTCATCTGTAAGGAATAGCTCTTCACTTCTGCGACATTCAGCTTTTTGCACAATCTATACAATTTAATACAGTTTAATACAGGTCTCTGGACTACGGAGAATAAAACAGCAAGATCCACCAAATGACAGGAGAGATAAAGGGAATACTGATACAGACTGTACAGAGACGTAGCCCCGCCTCCCGCCTACTTTCAGCCAATGGCAGCCGTCCCTCTGCCACACTAAGGAGATCACAGTAGACACTTTAATCTGGACAATCACTTGTGCAATCAGTGCAACTGATCCAGTTCAGAGGGCCGAGGTCTAAAACTAGACTCTAACCGGCTGCCTCCAAAACACCTGGGAGCTCCAGTAAACATAAGAGAAGGTTTTAAAATCTGCAACGGCCCTCTGCAGACGTCACCTCAAACATAACATGACCTTTTCTGGCATAAAAGGAAATAAAACACTCGTTGTGGTGTAATCGCTTATTTGTTCACGGGGAAAACTGGGACAACCACAATCTGTTTCCAAGTGTGTATTGATTCTGAGTGCTGGGAGGTACGCTTTGAGGAAAATAATAATACTGAAGTGTAATGTGAAAATGCTTTTTTTCAAACAACGCAAGAGTGCCCATGTTGCAGAAATCCAGGCATAATTATTATCACTTTAGAGTGACCCTTTGTAGATATCCAACAACAGATATATTTACCATCTTGTGCAACAACGTGGGTTTTGCAGCTCATACACATTTTGTTTTATGCAACCAAATGTTGTAGAATTCAGCACGTTTCCAGGTTCAGAGATCTTTAGAAGACAGTTCTTTCTTTTTGTCTATGTTATTATACCTTTGCCTTTCAGCTAGTCTTCAAAGAACAATCAGGAAAACCTAAATATACAGGGTGAGTGAGTCTTCTATAATGGGTCAGTCAAATATAACTAGATCTCAAATTATGTGCAAAATCATCCTCATTCAGCAAGAAACTAAATGTTGCCATTTACTCAAGGCAACCTGACCTAGAGTCGTGTTGTTATCATTCTCAACAGAATATCTGTAACAGCTTTGAGTACTCGCAGTAAGACAGTGATCTGAACACCGCTGGTCTCAAACCACATCACTGTGTCTGCATCACAACTAGTTCATGTGTCTTTGATTTGTCCGTTAGATTTCCATATTTTCAACTCAAAATATACAATATTAACAGGTTTCCTGTACATTCCACCTCTGAAAATCATACAATGCATAATATCTGCATTTTACAATAAGACTTCCACAGCTATCTTTATTTCTCTATAATCCTTTTTTATAGATTTTTTATAATAAAACATGTATTTTTTTCTTCTTCTTTTCTTCCTTCACTTAAAGCGCTCTTTCCAAATAGATCAGGGAGGGGGTGAAGCCAACACCAGGCACTGGGGAGGAGGGGGAAACGAGGGTGGAGGGAATCAGGAGGTTGAAGGTCAGAATGTACCATCGGGGGTCTCGGGG